TCAACATGTCACCAGTGAAGTTATTCGCCCTCCGTGCAACACCGGGGAACTGCCAGCACGTGGTCCGCTGCAGATCACGGCGTCTCCGTCTCGAATTAATATCCACAGATGGGATGCCAAACACAATGAGGTAGTCCCTCTCCCTCCATGTCTCTAAGGTCCTGTGTGGGATGTAGCGCAGAGACTCATTGTCAGCTGTGGCGTCTGGACTATCAGTATTCCTGCCGCTGGTGTTTTTGGCCAATGGTGTATTGGGGTGGGACTCACTCGATTGGACTACCATATCAACGTCTAGGTAGTAATAATGACCAATGAACACCACCACCAACAAAAACAACAGGAGTGTACCGAGAATGTCGGTTCTCCGTGGTGCCTTGCGTGCCATGTTCACTCTGTGTCACTACGGGTGAGGGGTGAACAGAGAGGGATAAGGATGTATACAAGGGGATGCAGTGACCTATAAACACACACACACACAGCACATACACAGCAACACTAATATTAAGTTACGATTAGGTAGAAAAGAAACGTATCATCATATTCACAAGATAATAATGTACTGAGGTTCTTAACAGCGGAATTTCATGTATTTATGCTTTTTCCAAAATCGCATTCTGGGACTGTACGTCGTACCATTCCCAAACCTATCCATTAGCATCGCATAGTCATTCTCTTCCAAATGGTGAATAACAACAGACTTTGGGTTTACGCTGAACTGCAAACTTTCATTATACAAATTATGGAACCGACACGGCATCTCAGCCACAAATACCAGTGGTGTGTATGGAGACTCAACTCGCAGTATGCGGCCCACCATGTAGTCCTCCCCATTCATACCAAGCGAAAGAAAATCCTTCTCCCGCTCCTTGGTGTATGGGAGATGTACTAAACGCTTCAATGGCTCGTAAGAGACTAACCATTCTGCTGTATCCCTTGAGAGAGTATAGCACATTCCACCCGCAAAACGAAACCTCACAGTTACATTACCTCGACGTAGAAAAGCAAGGATGCTGAGTCCCCAATATATTCTCTGTTGTGGAAGTCTGAGCAGATCAGACAAAAACTGCGGCACACGCAAGAAGATGTCATCATCAGCCTTTGTAATATAATTCACTCTTGGAAAAAGACGTAGTGCCAGTTCAAACCAAAGAAATGTTTTTCGACTCATACCAATCTGAACCTCTACACCCCAATCAATGCTGCTGTACTCCAACTTTGTTGTATTCGGACGACCCTCATTCATCGGCAGTGTAATGATATCATGCCACTCATCAGCCTCCTCCAGTAGTGCAGCAGAATAGTTGTAGCCCTGTGATGGGTGCCGTGCAAGTACATACAACACCAACATGGCACCAGTGAAGTTATTCGCCCTCCGTGCAACACCGGGGAACTGCCAGCACGT